GTGGAAGGTGCACACAAGCCGCTTTTCCTGCTGCTGTTTGCAACGTATGAGCCTTTTCTTTTCCACCCTGAAGAGTTTCTTCTACTTTTAAAGTGGTTTATTTGGGCTCAGCAATAGTTGCTGTGATGAAAATACTCATTTGTTAGGAAAAGAAGGTAGTGACATCATTTTGAAAGGACCATGAGCTATTAAAATCAAAGGAAAAGCCATAAGAAGTAATTTCATTTCCATGTCAGAGATAGCTCTTGATTAAGTTAACATTGTTTTAAGATAAGATGACTTTTTTCTCCCCTGCTTTTAGGGTTACAATCAGAGAGATTTTATATTTTTATCCTTATAGATCATAGTTACAACATAGTGAGTGATGCATGCTGACCCAGTGGGTAGTGAAATCCAGAAGACTGAGTTACTAGGAAAAGCAATAATTTTCTAAAGCTGTGATATGGGTAATACGGAGTTGCTACTCAAATTCTAATAAAGCTCTTAATTCATATTGTGAATTATAGAACACTACTTTTTATAAAGCCTTATTTTTTTAGGGCAACTTAGCAGTGACATAGAACTGATAAATGAGTAGAATTTTGCTGGATTTTTGTATATAATCTCTAGAGCTCTGGAAACTGGGATTCGTTATAATGTGGTCAACTTCAAATACTTTCTGATTCCAAATATCTGAATTAATGAGCCTTGTCTTCACAAATACGAGCCACGCTGGGCAATATCAATGGATTTTCTAAAAATAATGTAAATGTCTTCTGTTTAATGTTATTTGAGTGCAATAAAATGCAGAATTCTTCTCTATATTGTCATTATTTTGAATTATTATTTTGTTATATAACAAAATCAGTTCATTTTATACTTAACTAGTATATTAGAATATTACAGTATCCTTGATGACTGAAATCACGAAGGTGTACCTTCGACCCTTTCTTAACCTATTTCTAATAGGTGATGTTTATTTTGTTTAACATTTACTCTGATGCTACATTGCCGGGAGCCAGATTAAAATGAAATAGCCCGTGCATCCATCCTTTGTAGGTTTTTTTAGCACCTAGCAGTTTTGGTAATTCCCTAGTGAGGCAAGCCCCACTCCCCTACAGCCTCCTGCTCCCCCATGACCATTGTACCATGAGGACATGAACTCCATTGTAGTTGAGAAGACGAAAGAGTCTGAGCAGGTGGAAGGGCAGGTGAGGGTACGGCAGGTTCTCTTTACATCTTCATTCTTGGGGCAGAAAAGGAGAACTAGACAAGTAGGGAAGAAGCCTCCGGGATCCAGAAAGGGTTGTTTTCTCCTCCGGCATGCCAGAAGGAGACTTCAGACTCACTCACTCAGGATAAACAGACCCACTTTTTTTTTTTATTATGTTATGTTAATCACCATACATTACATCATTAGTTGAAATCTTGCCATTTGCAACGACGTGGATGGAACTGGAGGGTATTATGCTGAGCGAAATCGGAGGGGGAGACGAACCATAAACAGACCCACTTTTATTGACTGCATTGCCTCTGCTGAGCGCTTTGTGTGTGTCGGTCACTTGCGTTTTCCCAGCAGGTGGGGCTTATCCCTGCTTGCAGATAAGGAAACTGAGGGGCAGAGAGGCCGAGACACCTGCCAGCCATGGTCCTTCATGGTGAGCACGTGGGCAATAGGTGGCAGGTGGAAACAGTTGGAGGGAGGCCAGAATGCAGGCAGGAGAGCAGGTCGGAGACTAACAAGTAGTAGTCCAGGTGACGGTGGACGGGCGACCTCGGGAAGTACTGGCAGAGAGACAGAGAAGGGGGACAGGAAAGTTGTGGCTGGCTGAGTGGGCCAGCACCGGGGAAACAGAGTCTTGGAGAGTCACAGATGCCAGGGACATGAGGAACTGGCGAGGGCAACTGGGCCCGGATGGAAATTAGCTTTGGACGTGCGTGAGGGCCAAGAAGAACTGGTCAGTAAGCAGGGAAGCACGGGTACTGGAACAGCATAGAGTTCAGGATATTAAGGGATTTTCTTTAATGGTGTATGATCATTTTTGAACAATTAAGATCCCGTTCTTTTTAGTAAGGTTTTCCTTATCCTGAGAGGGGGGAAAAAAGTAAGTACAGTTAGGGATTGCATTACACCTTTCTTCTACGAGTGCTTAAACCCTAAGTATGAGTTACAAGTGAACTTGGACGTGGGTAATTTTCAGAATTGGGCTGAGCAGATAGCTCCCTTTAACTTGGAGACTGCCCGTCATTGGAACATACAGAGTGTGATTGAAGTATTATTACAGAGGATACTTTCTAAATCAGTCTTACCTGTTCTGTGACCTTTGGCAAGATTCCTGAGCCTCTCTAAGCCTTAGTTTCCTTATCCATAAAATTAAAACTACCTCCCAGGGTTGATGGGGTTGATGGGGTTGATGGGATCGTCTGCAGCAAGTGCTTAGAACAATGCCTGGCACCCAGTAAGCATCCAGTAAGTCCTTCTCTGGGGCACGGCGAGGTCCCCATGGGTCTCCCAGGGAAGTGAGTGTACACAGAGAATAAAGCACACAGAGAATAAAGCATGTGTACACAGAGAATAAAGTAAAGCAGAGTAACACTTTACTGTGAGCTTTGCAGAATACTAGTGAAGGAAGCTGGATCTCTGAAAATGCTTTTACCCACTGAAAATCAGAGGGGCCAAAATGCCTGCTCTGCTCATTTACCCATATCCAAACACGAGTCACAGATGTCCACATGTTGGTGTGAGGTGAAGGGCAGAAGGGGACGTGAGAGAGAGAGCTCTTGCCCAGAGCTGGGGAAGTCTGGCCTGGACCTTCTTCGGTCAGGCTCACTGCCCTCTCGTAAATACTGCTGCTGGGGAGGAAGAAAGATGGTGGCCTTGTTCCCCGGAGGGTGCCTGGCCAGGGCCCTCCTACCCATTTAAAATGGGACCCATTCAAACCACTCCTCCTTCCTTATTTCTCCCCTGGGGGCGGGAAGATGTGTGGGGAGCCCTAAACTCCTCTTCGTGGGTAGCACTCACCTGTTCTCTCTAGTCAGGTTAGCAACTTGCATTTCGTGCTTGCGTTTTCAGATGACCCCAGCCCCATGCCAAGCGACGGATTCCTGGAGAACGTGGAGGGGCACAGCCTTCCTGCAGGCACTGCTGGTAGCACTGGAAGGGCTCCTTGGGGGACCAGGATTGTGTGTTGATGTTTTTCCTCAATCCTGTGTCCTCTGAGAGTGCATCCTATGAAATGATGCGCTGCCTAACTTTTTGATAAAGGAGGTTATGGTTAATACGATCAGAAATTCTAGAACATTCGACAGAAATCTAGAATGGCTTTTTGTTTTTGTTTTTGTTTTTAAATATCCCGTGTACGTCCTGCAGCACTGGCAGGAAGAGTGTGCCAGTCAACTTGATAAAACCCACTCTTTGCTCGAGGCAAAGCCTGCATGTCCCTATCTCCCGTTTCTCTTTCAGGGAAGGTAGGGAAGGGCACTGTGGGAAGATTATATGCTTTGGAATGATGTAAACAGCTGACCTTGATAGGTCAGGCACTCGACTTTCCCAGCCTCAGCTTCTTCCTTTGCACAGAGGGAGACAGACCTCCCCCTAGGGAGGCAGGAGGCAGTAGGGGGGCGCGATGTACTTAGACTGAGCCTGCACTCTGCAGCTTTCACGGTCATTCCCTTCCTCTCCATTGGTGTCTTGAAACACCTGACCTATAAAAAGCCCTGCCTTGTATCGGAAGCCTGCCTCCCATTTACTTGTCACTTCTAAAAAGTGCAATGTTTGATAGGAATGTATGGAGGAAGCCGGCGAGCAAAACAATGGAGCGTTCAGTGGTTGTACCCCTGATCTCACCCCACGGCCTGGTCTACTCTGGGGGAAGAACTGAGTCTGATTTTGTATCAGTCTCCCAAACTCTGCGCTATCCTGACTCCCACACACATGCCTATACACGCATTCCTAGAAATACCCAAAGCTAGATGAGTACCTACGGGAACTATATAATCAGCTGGTCTACCGTGAAATTTAGCTAGACCCCAACTTCTATGAAACAGTGGGCCAGATCTGAGATAGTGCAGAAATGAACTTATAAGCTCAGGGTCAGGTCATGTGCCATAGTTTTCCATGTAAGGTGGATGTTGTTTGGTCGAGGTTCTGGGTGGGTTTTACTGCACACGGTCCCATTCGTGGGAGAGACCCTACGACTGTGGTTAACTTAGTGAGAGGCTGACACAGGTGGGCTGTCTGGCCCATCTCGGCTCCTCAGCACCTGGGCTCAGTGCAGCAACCCTTAGTGTTCCAGATGTGTATGTGTGAAGTCCTTGGGGAGGTGAGACTGGTGTCACCCCAGTGAGGGGGACATGCGGCATTTCTTTAAAGCACATTGTGGCTGTTAAAGTCTTCTGGTTTTAGGAGACAGTATCAATATTGAACAAGCTTTGGTGAGGGCTTCACTCCACTCCAGTTTGCCTTTATACCCACAGAGGCACTTTTGGAGGAGATGACGACCCACAGCCCTACTTTCCTGTTAATGAGGAATACTTAGCCTGGTGCCTCATACCTGGTTACTTTTTTTTTTTTTTAAACATTTTTTTTTAAAGATTTTTTAAATTTATTTATTAGAGAGAGAGAGAGTGAGAGAGCGCAAGAGGGGGTAGGGTTAGAGGGAGAAGCAGACTCCCCGCCGAGCAGGGAGCCCGATGTGGGACTCGATCCCGGGACTCCAGGATCATGACCTGAGCCGAAGGCAGTCGCTTAACCAACTGAGCCACCCAGGCGCCCACACCTGGTTACTTTTATAAGTATAAGCCTGGTGACTTTTAAAAGCAATTCATATGAGTCTAATCTTAATATTTTGTAACAAATTTCATGTGTAAAGAATTCAGGGTTTAGGAAAATTGGAATTCTATGCCCAGGAATATTTTTCTTAAATTATATTTATTTGAATTCATTTAAATATGGTCCTATATTTTGAGATAACGAATGGGGACTTTCACAATACTTACTTTGTTTTGTCTTTACTTTTCAGAAACAAATAGAAAAACAGATGATCCAGAAATAAAAGAAAAAGGTGAGATCATCAAATAAACTGCCTTTCAAATATACATAGGAAGAAAATCATCACACTATTCATGAATAACATGCTGATTTTATTTTGTATCACCAGTGAAAAGAAATTGCCTCTGGGTTTATTATTTCAATGGTTTTATCAACAAACATTTATCAATATTTACATAAACATTAAGAGCAAAGTCTCTAAAGAGGTAGCCTGGTTTCTAATCCTGGTTTTGCTGTTCACTATATGTATGTCTGAGAATTCCTTGCCCTCTGTGCCTCAGTTTCCTCTCTGTGATATGGGAATAAAATAGTACCAAGTTCAGGGACCAGAAGACTCCTGTTTCTACGATAGTAATTAAATGACAATATGTGTAAGGTACTTAAAGCAATGTATAGCGCAGGGAAAGCACTTAAGAAATGTTAAATATTATTGTTTATGTTAACATCTGTGCCAGGAATAGAGATCCAGAAATTACTAGAACATGTTCTCTTTTTATAAGGAACTCTGAGTTGTTGGAAGGACATGCAAAGAAGGTTACATCCATAAAGAAAGAATCATCTCTGCCTTCCCACAGTTGATTACAATGGGATTCTAATAAATTAAATAACCCAATAGAATTTTAACTCAGCTCTTACAAAGATTCCTTAGCTTACTTGGAGTGAGGAACCAAGTTAAACAATTATATAGATGATCATGGAATAGTGCTTATGCTTTTTTTTTTTTTTTTGCATATTCTACTTCCCTTTATTCTTTCCAATTGTGGACATTTTTATTTTTCAGTATTTAATTCAAGCTTAGACAATAAGAATCTCTAAATAGTAAGGCTACTAATTTTATCCCTCACAAATATTTTTTTATATCATTTAATTAATTAATTAATTTTTTCATCACGATAAGTGTGCTCTTTAATCCCCAACCTCCCCCACCTGCCTCCCCTCTGGTAACCATCAGTTTATTCTCTATAGTTGACAATCTGTTTCTTGGCTTGTGTGTGTCTCTCTCCCTATATTTTTTTTCCCTTGCTCATTTGTTTCTTAAATTCTACACATGAGTGAGATCATATGGTATTTGTTTTTCTCTGACTGACTTGCTGTACTTAGCATCCATTATACTATCTAGCTCTATCCACGTTGTTGCAAATGGCACGATTACAGTCTTTTATTTTTATGGCTGAATAATATTGCGTTGTATATATACCACATCTTCTTTATCCATTCATCTATCGATGGACGCTTGGGCTACTTTGATAGTTTGGCTGTCATAAAGAATGCTGCTATAAACATAGGGGTGCATGTATCCCTTTGAATTAGTGTTTCTGTATTTTTTGGGTGAATACGCAGTAGTGCGATTACTGGGTCATAGGGTAGTTCTGTTTGCTTTTAATATTTGAATGATAAAATCTTTAATGATTGAACATTACAATTTCAGAAATGCCTTTAATTTTTAGTGATGAAAGCAGTGTCTACATTTGAGAAGATATTATAGTACATAACATGTTATAATATACATCATGTACATGGTCTTAGTGTAGAATTCTTTGGTGAGCATACAGAGTTGCTGGCCTCTGGCTGTAATTTTGTAGCCCGTAGGCTGGGAACTAGGCATTTAGTCATGCTTTTTTTTTTTTTTCCTGACTCGTTGTATTTAAATTTTTTTTTTTTTAAGATTTTATTTGTTTATTTGACAGAGAGAAACACAGCCAGAGAGGGAACACAAGCAGAGGGAGTGGGAGAGGGAGAAGCAGGCCTCCCGCAGAGCAGGGAGCCCAATGCGGGGCTCGATCCCAGGACCCCGGGATCATGACCTGAGCCGAAGGCAGATGCTTAACGACTGAGCCACCCAGGCGCCCCATGTATTTAATATTTTATGAAAGCAGTGCCAAGATACAGTTTTAAAAGTATGACTTTTAATGAAACACAGCAGCCTTCTACCTCCCTAATCCCTGTCTATGAGGCCCATCCCTGAGATTCTTTTAGCTGTTTCTTCTAGTACTTACCTACACGTTTCTAAATCGCTACTTGTGCAACTTTCTCGTCGGTGTTAGAAACTGTTGACTTTTCTACATAGATGACTGGGATTTAGCTCGGTCATGACCCGAGTTCTCCATGCTGCCCCACCTTCCTGATCTGCCAGGACACCACGACATACTCTGATCGTGATAAGTAAGTAGCCCCCTTCTCCCCAGCTTTGTTTTCTACGATTTCAGTGACCCGCGGTCAGATGTGGTCAGCAAGCAGATGATCCTCTTTCTGACCTATTGTCAGAAGGTCACTAGTAGCCTAATGCTACGCCACAATGCCTGTGTCCTTCCCCTCACTTGATCTCATCACGTAGGCATTTTCTAATCTCACAGCATCTTAAGTAAGATGAGTACAAGATATTTTGAGAGAGAAAGAGAGAGACCACATTCATATAACTTTTATTACAGTGTATCGTTACACTTGTTCTATTTTATTATTAATTATAATAATAATCTCTTATGGTGCCTGATTTATAAATTTAACTTTATCATAGGTATGTATTATAGGGTTTGGTACTCTCTGTGGTTTCTGGCATCCATTGGGAGTCTTGGAATGGGTCCCCTGCAGATAAGGAGGGACAACTGTACTAAGGAGAAAAAACAAATCAAGGAGGAGGGTATCATCAGTTTTTGCTAGAGTTGATCGCTTCTCAGCCTTTTGGCTAAGATCAAGTGTAGAATTGATCACTTCCTCGATTCTAGAATGTTTCCTTCACTTGGCTTGCTGGTTACCACATCCTCTTGGTTTTTCTCCTACTCTCTGCTGTGTGTGCTTTTCTCAGCCTCTTTGGAGGGCTGTTCCTCATCTCCCTGACCATCTGGCACTCAAGTGCCCCAGGACTCAGTCCTCAGAGCATTGCTCCATCTGCACACACTCCCTCGGTGATCTGACCTAATCTCCTCGCTTTAAATATCTGTCTGCCAAGGATTACCACACTCGCCTGCAGCCTGGGTTACCGTTACCAGGTGTCTGCCGGAGAACCTCGTTTGGACATCTGATAATCACTTCAAACTTAACTGGTGTAAACTGAACTCCTGACCTTCCCCCTCGAAGCCCGCTCCTCCTACGAAGCGTCTCTTTCATGCCTCCCTATATTTCCCTCAGCAAGTCCTGTCAGTCCTCTCCCCACAGCACATCCAGAATTCCACCGCCTCCTGCCCCCAACACCCACCACCACCTAGCTCCCAGCTACCACTGTCTCTTGCCGGCATTATTCCGGTTGCCTCCTAACTGGTCTTCCCGCTTCCACCTTTGTCTCTATAATCTTTCTCAATACAGTAGCCACGGTGACCCCTTTAAAACCTAAGCTGTGTCATGTTGCCCAGTGCCTCCAGCATCTTTGTATATCCCTCAGAAAAAAACGAAGTCCTTTGCCGTGGTTTACAAGCCCTCATAAAATCCATTCTCCCTTCTCTGTCTTCTCTTGGTTTCCTCCCCAACATCACATCCTATAATACTCTCTCTCCTTTGCTCACTCTGCTCTAGCTACATGGGCTTCCCCGCCAAGCACGCACAGGACCCAGGACCTTTGCAGTGACCGTTCCTTCCAGGTTGACTCTTCTACCCCAGCACCCACATGGCTTGCCACAGTCTTTGCTCAACTGTAGCCTTCTTAGTGAACCTCCCTAACCTTACTTGAGGTTAAAAACCCCTTACTTTCCATACCCTGTTTCCTTGCTTTGTTTTCTTTTTTTTTTTTAAAGATTTTATTTATTTATTTGAGAGAGAGAAAATGAGAAAGAGAGCACATGAGAGGGGGGAGGGTCCGAGGGAGAAGCAGACTCCCTGCCGAGCAGGGAGCCCGATGCGGGACTCGATCCCGGGACTCCAGGATCACGACCTGAGCCGAAGGCAGTCGCTTAACCAACTGAGCCACCCAGGTGCCCCTCCTTGCTTTGTTTTCTATATAACACCATGTGATTATATTTGATAGTTTAATTCTTCAGTATTTATTGTCTGAACCTCCCACTGGAATAAAATTTCCACGAAGACACATTTTTTCTGTTCTGCTCACTGCTGCATTTCCTGTGCTTGGCACATAGTAGGCACTTAGTGTATATTGTTTGAGTGAATTTCTATTATGTTTTAATTTCAGAGGATTAATATGAACAGACATTACAGGCTCTATAAAACCCAAATTGTAGGAGTAAGAACCAGACCCAGATAGAACTCTTAGGATGGAAATCCTTGGGAAACCCAAAGCTTGAGTCAGTGACACTGGAGTACGAAGAAGACAGCTGTTGTCATCCCTAAAGAAACCAGAGTAATTACATGGTCCGCTCTGTGACCTCACGTGTCAGAGCTCAGTGGATGCAGGGATCGTCGTCACACCCATGCTGCTTGGACCACAGGACTGACAAGTGTTCCAAGTGTTAAATACACGTTCACTTTCAGTTTCTTCATCCAGAAATAAGGATCATGGTTCTTAATGCCTCACAGGGTATACTTCAAAACAGGAAGATAAAATGAAACTATCTGTAAATCATAAATGCAGTCTGCTACTGCTATTACTATGCAAATACCTGGACTCCAGATTGCTTTGATTAGCAATGAAGTTGGTTGATTTGGGGGTGAATCAAGGTGTGCCAGTTTTAAGGTTTTGTTAAAACCGTGCTTTTAAAAGATCCGTATGTGGGCGCCTGGGTGGCTCAGTTGGTTAAGCAACTGCCTTCGGCTCGGGTCATGATCCTGGAGTCCCGGGATCGAGTCCCGCATCGGGCTTCCTGCTCGGCAGGGGGTCTGCTTCTCCCTCTGACCCTCCCGACCCTTCCCCCTCTCATGTGCTCTCTCTCTCAAATAAATAAATAAAATCTTTCTTTTTTTTTTTTAAGATTTTATTTATTGGGCCCCTGGGTGGCTCAGTTGGTTAAGCGACTGCCTTCGGCTCAGGTCATGATCCTGGAGTCCCGGGATCGAGTCCCGCATCGGGCTCCCTGCTCGGCGGGGAGTCTGCTTCTCCCTCTGACCCTCCCCACTCTCATGTGCTCTCTC